AATCCGGAGGCAACTGCCAAATCAATAAAATATAAGGGTATATATACAATGAACTTAAAATTTCAAATTCTTTCATTCTCGCATTAAATATTGTTTTCTTCTTCCATAAAATTCAAGGTATTGAAATAGATGTCTTCGCTATAGGTCCGAGAGTGAGTTATGATCAAATAAATGCTATTGCATCATCTCCCAAGAATATTATATATTCTCCAGAATATTGCTCCTCCAAAGATTCTCTCATTCATTTCATCAATAGGAAATTTTTTGTTTGCGTTTAAACTTATTTTTTACATGATAGTTTATACAATTTGTATCTTTTTGTTCTAAATAAAAGCCCTAATGGTGTCTCAGAAATATATTTTTTTTCCCTACAAACAAATTATAGTAATTATAACTACATATCAATATCATTGATCTTAAAGATTATAGTAAGCCAAAATTTCCTATTGCGGCATACTTTAAAAAAGCATGATTATATATAGCTAGACCTGTGCACCGACGAAACGGTCGGCGGCAGGAGGAAATTTTCAAAAATCTAATCGACGGCCGGCGGCGCTGAATTTTAGCAGCCGTCAGCAAATCGGCGCAGTTATAAATTTTTATAATATAGTTTTTTTAATTGCTTAATAATTTAAAAAAAAAACAAATATACAGATATACATCTGTATATATCTCGGCATATTTTTTAATATTTATTTAATAGAAAACTCATTATAAATCCAAAATCGTTTTCGTAATTTTATAATTATCATGTTTAAAAATTATTTTAATCTCCTTTAATTTAACGTCAATCCAGCTGTAGAGAAAACTCATTCACTAGGTGTGCTGGTCGCCGGAATGCAAAGAATTTTTTTGGCGAGCCTGGAAAGATAGGGAAGTTCACTCTTCTTTTCTCACCAAAATTTTAACGTCCACATCTTGTGAATGTCGTTTTCCAAGAAAACTGTGGCATTCTTGTTCTAAGTCACCTAACTATGAATCATAATTTAAATTTTGTTGAATGTTTATTTGCTAATTTTGTCAAATAACTTGAATTTAATAATTCCACTTGATACTCATTAGCTATATTTGCTACCTGATTACCATCGCTCTCTATAAGTTTAAGATGATTTATTATAAATTCTGAAGCTGAGCAATTTTGCTCTATTAAATACTTTGACACAATTGTCAATTTTTGAAATCTTGGATATAAATGAGGAGCTAATACCTAGATAATTTTGAATAAAAAATAAAAGAATATACTTATATAATATTACTTTCAGATTACAAACCGGAAATCGTAACGCAAATTTTAATAGCATATTTTCCTTAAGTGAAATAATTTCAGAACTATCACTATCATTTACTATTAAATTTTTTACAATTTCACTTCTAAAAAGTAACGCCAAATTTAAAGTAGGCCCATTTTGTACTGAAAGAAATTCTACAGTTTCTTAAAATTTTGAAAGAAATGCAAATAGTTCTTCTACCAGATCAGATTCATAATTTAAGAAAGTGCTTCTCAATTCTTTTCAAAACATTATAAATCCTTATTTAATCCAGATATGCTTTCTAGCATAATTAATATACTATGCCAACGTGATGGGCTTGGGACAATCCGATTTTTAACCAACATTATATATTTTTTGGTATAAGCTATTTTCTGCATTTATATTATAGTACTATTCAGAATAATAAGATAACTATGTTAAATATAGCTTGTTAACAATCGTCTTAGGTCATGAGTAATTTAATTTTATGTAATAATAAATAGATTAATAATCCTTTATATAATTCATGTATGTGCTGTATATTTTAAGTAGTATTTGTTAATTAATAAATAAGATCGAATAATCAACATATATATTATATAAAATTATTTCTTATCAAATATAATAAATATTTTGTAAAAATTATAAGTTAAAGTGAACATACTACATAACATCTCTAAAACATTTTTTATTGATAACTTTTAAAATTTATTAAAATAAAATTCGAAAAAACTAAAAATAATTTAAAATTGTTATTATTATATTTATCTTAAAAATCCAAATTACACGATGGTACTTTTATGGATAATTGCTGCGGTGTAGATAACATTTTCTATAAGTTAAAATAATTTAAATCCCTATTACACATTCTATATTTTAGCAAACTTTTGTCAAATGCGATACCCAACCAATTATTCCTTCAATCAACACGTCAACTCCTCCAAGTATTCCGTGATTTATATATTAATTTTTAGATTATACCATTGTTTACATTTAATAAAAATTAATAATAGTAATGTTATATCATAATAATAGTAATGTAATATCATAATAATAGTAATATAATATCATAATAATAATCAAGTGAATTTCATGTCTGCTAGCGGAGATTTTTAAAAATAATATAATTTCTTATCAAATATTTAATTTTATTAGGTTAATACTTTGTGATATAAAATTATTTAGATAGATTATGATTTATCATTTATAATTTATAGAATGATTTGAACGGCTATTCTAATTTTAAAAAAGTATATTTTAAAGAGGTTTAAAAATAATGATATATAATTTATCTATTCGAAATGGTTTAATTTAAGTGAACGAAATTTTATTAAACCTATATTTATAAGTTTTATTATAATTATAAAGATTTAGCAATGCTACAATTGAAATTTTTGGATGGCTTAGTTATTTGGGAGAGGCCTCAAAACCTCTTAAACAATACCTACAATTACATTTACAAATACTACCTTGACGTAATGTACTCAAATAATCTATTAAATTACTACTGATTTTAAGGCCACGGTAATACATTTAAAAAATATATGTATAACACCAGTAATTTTAACGATTTTAAAAGCTAGCTTCCCTATAGCTGCTAGAGGTTTGCAAATGGCAAATTTTTAGGCATAGGCCGGTTCTAATTTAGTTAATGCCCGATGAAGCCAAATCCGGTTCTGCTAAGTTTTAATTTACTAAGGACCCCCGACCACCTTTGGTTTAAATTTTTTTTAAAAACAACAAATAAATTATATGATGTTGAACACCAAAATAAACTACTATTTATTTATAATTTTTCGGAGTGGTTAAATTATATAACATTGTACATTGATGATTATCATTATTATTTCTATGAAATATCACATTTCATAAAATATGTACAAAAAATTACCTTACTCCTCATATATTTTTTAATCATCGGGCCGAGCCGGAAATTGGACATCTCTGTTCACTACTTTTCGCTATTTTCCCCCCAAAAAATGTTCAATTTTATTGGCTATTTGGCTTTTATTGTAGAGACTAAGAATATGAACCACACCTTCAACAAATTGCACACTATCTACTTCCTAAATATTGTATTTTCTCTCTAGTTTTTCAATTAAAAGATTTAAATAATCAAATAAAAGAGTTTTAAGGATTAGAGCATATATGATCAGTTTTTTTTTACTTTATTAATATTAAAAAGAAATAATATATTATGTTCATCATTTTAAAATATTAGTTAAAAACGTTAAAGTAAATATATAAGTAGCGCAATTTAGCTAACGCTTCTATAAAATTGTAGTGCGGCTGCTGTTTCTCGCAACATTCAATAGCTACTACTTTGCCTTGCATTTCATCCATGTATAGAATGGAAATAAACTTAAAGAGTATACCGTTTCAAACTTAAATTAAATTTTACAGCCTTGAAATGATGTCCTTCAAAGTTTAAAGAAGATACTTTTTAAAATAAAATTTGATACATCTGTTTTGTTAGAAACCAATATTTGGTCAAATTTAAAAAAAAAGGCTAAATCAACATTTAAATAAAAAATATTTATCTAAACTTCAAAATTTTACATAAAGTTGGCAAAATGTTTTGATTTTTTGTTAACATTTTGAGGCTTAAGGAAAATTTATTAGACTAAAATCTTGATATTAACGTTATTTTAAAATCGGTTTAAATCATATTCTAATTTAATGATGCTTAGTATTATAGAGATACGGATCCTAAGTTATTATGGTCTATTCTCGCCGATGAAAATATTAATTCAAACTCAACATATAATATGCCATCTGATTCGAATTATATAGAGAGATATAAAATCGAAGGTTATAGAGATACTATTGAAGATGATGCTGTTACCAATGTAACTATCAATCAACTAAACATGAAATTACTATTGATAGAATGTTATTGTAGTTACGATTTGTGCAACCGTACAAGGATTGCTTGAAGTTTACGAAATTCACTAATCGTATATAATTTACAAAGGTCAAAATGCTTAACAATAATTATAGTTCGATTCCCTTGTCCAGACCCAATGTTAATGTCTTAATACAAAATTGCAAAAAAAAATGAGCGTAGTAAAATTTATTTTAATTTATATGTAAATATTATGCTATTTTATCTTTAGGGTATGGGTTGGGCTAAATTTAGATCTATTTTTCGGAAAAAAGTAAATATTATAAAATTATTTTATAATGCCATTATAATACCTAAATTAATATTAATAGCATATAAGCAATGTACATTGACATACAGAATATTTCCCAAAAGATGTTATTTGAAGGAGTCTATAATTTGATTGTATCCAAAGAAAATTCATTTATCAGAAGTTAAATATTATATTTTAAATATAAGATTATTTGTCAATAAACGAAGAAATTTTTTTGTTAATAATTTTAGAAAATCTATCTTTGTTTCCTTTCGAAAATTTAAATAGTCACATCCGTCGATTCGTATATTTAATATACAGTTCCACTCATTATAGAGACCTATCTACCTATAGATTGTCACGATTGAAGAAATAAAGCTTGCTATAAAATATTTGGATTATTTTTATGTTTCATCAACTAAAAAAGTCATCATCCTAACCCCTTGTATTTAATATTAAGATGAATCCATTCAATAGGCAAATGAGGGATATTAAAAGAATTCCAAGGTGTAACTCATGTATTTTAGGTACTAGATGGGTCAAACGTAAAATATTAATGAATTCCCATCTCTAAGCTACTTTTCTAATTATTTGGCTTTTATAAAAACTAATCAATAATAAAATTTTACCTCTTATGAGCTAAGTAAGATATTCGTTCATATTTCAAAAAGTTCGAAATATACATTATTTAAATGAAATTTTTTTTTAAATTCCTCGCGTTTTACATCAATTCATTTAATCAATTTTAAAGGTTAAATTTATTATAATATGTGATATACTAAATTTCGATTTTATTCAAAAAATTTAAGATGTTAATAGATGTGAACAACAATTTATCTGCTCTTTTCTTTTTAGTGATGATCATCATAAGTATGGGATTAGAATGTAAAATTCAGTTAAAAAAATTTGAATCTGTATGAAGCCTTGAGTCACTAATTTAATTATATATTATTAATTTGTAATATGATCCAATTATCATTTAATATATTTTAATTTTATATTATTTATATATTTATTTTTTTTCTTCTTTAAACTATTCTATAAACAAATATTTTAGGGCATTAATTGAAAAAAAAATATTTCATCCTGAAAATATATCACAATGCCCTTGCCCATAATATTTGGGAAAATCAATTGGATATCGTATTTTATAGCATAAAGTGTATAGAAGACCAAATAGAGGATAGAAAGAAAATTATAAATGTAACCTAGCCCGTTTACACTTATAACATTTTTTGATTATAAGAATGGAATTAATAATTAGAATTTTCATGTTAAATGAATATTTATTATTATTCTCTATATATCTAAATTATAAATTATTATTTTGAGGATGTGGTATTTTTAAGGCTTTTTTGCTAAATAAATTATATTCGTTTTTATTCCTAATAAAAAAAAATATAAATATGAAATTGTCACCCACAGGGAAAACTAGTTATATAAATTTTGGTTGTGTTGTTAAAAAAATATATTTTGTCGATTTTAATTTTGGTACAAAATCTTTACGCACCTCAAAATAATCTTTATTTTACATTACTTTAGAGCTCCATTTATATACCTCCAAATATCTTCTCGTTGTTTGGCTAATTTGTAAATTTCTTATTTCCCCTCTATTGTGTGCAGTTGCTTGCACACGTCATCACATGAAAGTGTTTTGGCCCTGGGCCACCATCTTTGTAGCTGGTTTCTTGGAATTTTCTATTTTCCTCTGCATATAAATTCACAATAATTTTTTTTCCATCCGCCTACAGCCGAGTTTTTAAAAAAAATATATTATACTTTTTAAATTGGAATTTACAAATTTTGAACTAATATTTAAATTTTATATATTTTTAAATTTATTATGAATACCTTCAAACACTACTAACATATAATACAAGACAATTGGTAATCTAAAGATATAAATTTTTATTATAAAATATTTACCTATTTATTAGGATTTTTTAATCTTTATTTAAGAGAAACACATTATAAATCCAATTCGTATTTCTTATAATTATCATGTATAAATATTATTTGCTAGTCACTCCAATACAAAGAATTTTTTAGGCAAGCCTGAAAAGATTGAAGAACTTACCATATCTTATGAATGTCGTTTTCTAAGAAGAATGTGGCATTCTTGTTCTAAATCACATCACGTGGAATCATAAATTTGTATTGTTGAATGTTTATTTGCCCACTTTGTCAAATAACCTTAATTTAATAATTCCTCTTGATCCTCAATAGCTATATTTACTACCTGAATAACATCATTCTCTATAAGTTTAATTTGTTTTATTATAAAATCTGAAGCTGAGAAATTTTGCCTATTATATATATTAAGACACAATTGTCAATTTTTGAAATCATGAATTTAAAATGGAAGCCAATACCTAGATGATTTCTCAAATAAAATATAAATTAGATAAATGAAAGATCACAAACCGGAAATCGTAACGCAAGTTTACCATATTTCCCATAAGTGTAATAATTTCAGAACTATCACTATCATTTACTATTAAATTTGTTACAATTTCACTTCTATAATGTAACGCCAAGTTTAAAGTAGGCCCCTTTTGTACTGAAAGAAATTCGACAGTTTCTTTAAATTTTGAAAGAAATGCTAATAGTTCTTCTACCAGATTAGTTTCATAGTTTGATAATTTGAGAAAGTGCTTCCCAATTCTTTTCAAAACATTATTAATTAAATTCTTATTTAATTCAGATATGCTTTCTAGCATAATTAATATACTATGCCAACGTCTTGGGACATTTAATTTTAAGGTTTTCATATGCGTGGAATTATTGTTATTATTATCATTGGAATTGCCAATTTTAAAACGGGGATCCGGGTATGGATCAGTGCTGTCAAGATCTAACATGTCTGATATTAAATCTTTTTTTCAACAAAGGGTACCTTTTCAATATCATCTACTGTAACCAGATTGTGTAAACCATGACCCAAACATAAGTGGTGTTTATGTTCACCTAATCGAACACCTTTTCTAACATTAGGCCCAGCATCTGTGACCATTTGTATTTTTTTCTTTTTAAATTAAATTCCTCTTCTATTTTATCAATCTCAGTTAGAATAGTTTCTGTGTTTTTTTTGTGTAGTAAATCATTTCAAAATTATCATTTATTAAATGAAGTGTAAATGTAATATAGTTTCTTCTTCTGTATTGATCTGTCCACATATCAAATGTAATTGAACAAAATTTTGACCCTGAGTTAATTTGTTCTTGTACATGTGCTTTCATTGATAGGTAAACATTATTAAGAGGAGTACGGCTTAGTGTTGTCCTGTCTGGCAAAATAGAATTAGAATTGATAACTTTATATTTCTAATAAGTATTTTGAAATTTATAACAGAAAATCATTATATCTTTATTTTATATTAGACAACAAATTAGGGAGAATTTATCAAGAAGAAATAAATAGTGTTGTTAAATTTCCTAACTTTGACCATCTCTATTGTGTCTTATTCAGGCCTTTAGACTAAAATATTGAATTAAGCTTCTAAGTTTAGTCTCAACTTGAAGATTGATTAGAATATTTCTGGATAAAAATATGGCTACGCTGTTTTATAGTTGACTAAATATAGGTAGTTTAACAACACTAGAAATAAATTTGTTAAAAATATATTCTGGGTTGCAAAGCTACATGTTAAAACAAATGAATATGCAATTATCCAATATTATTTAAATCATATATGTCTATGTGTAATAATATTGTTAGCATGGCTATAAAATTCAACTATTGTAAATCTTCATCAGTAGCCAATGCTATTTCAATAGAACAAAAGAGACATAAAGGTAGTTATTATAATAGATAAGATATCTATAAATTTAATACCTTCAAAAAATCTTTCATTCCTATATTATCAATTTATTGAAAAGGTAATAGGTCAGCACAACATAATAACACATAATTTCTTGCTAGAAGCCAATTTTTAGAGGTTTTAGAATTTGTCTGGAATTTTGGTTTGGATATAAAATATTTTTTTAAATCTTGCGATTTTGATGAAGTATCTGCTTTAATATTATGTTCAGAAGTCAAGTGTTTTCAAATTTCCTGTGCTAATGTTTATTAAAAAGTTTTGATTTTATAGCTACATTATATTTTACAAAAAATATATTTAAATTTATTAAAGATTTTGGCTATATATGAGAAAATAATATTTAAAAAAAAATACTGTGAAAATGGCTTATTATCATCATAGTCTCCAATAGCCTTTCTTAAGCAACAATTGCAGTAAAATTTGTGAGAATTTATGGAAATTGTTTTATTATCTCTTTTTAAGTGTAAATAACCAAAAAATTTCCAGACTATGGATTTTTTATTTTCCAGAGTTAGGATATTAAAATTATTTATAGAATTATTAAATGTAGACGCATCCATTTTAAAAATATGTAAAATTATGGTAACTTTTAGAATTTTAGATTTTTGATTGATTGAATTCTATAATGACGCCAATACAGTTATGATTTTAAAATAGTAGAAAATAAAAATTCATCAAAATCCTGATTGACATTAAAAAAATTTAAACAGTGATGTTGACCAATTATTAGAATAAAAAGGAATAAAATATGAAATTAATTTCTGCGCCGGCGTGATTTTCTTAAACGGCGGCGTTTCCGGCGTAACCAAAAAAGGTTTATATATAGCCTTCGATATTCAATCATCAATATTTTATTTTGCCCCGGATAAATTTAATATTATTATAAAATTTTAATTTTAACCATATAAAGGGTCATAACTAGACCCACTCACAAGTCACAACCCAGCCTAGCTTTTTTTTCTGAGACCCTTATCATTTCTGTACTCTCTTTTTTTGGTATTAATCTTGTTTCTATCATAATCATCTATATGTCTTATTAAAACTCTATTATTAAGCTATATAATGAAATTTAAATTAAATCATCGCTCTAACCTAATTTATTCTTGAGATATTTGAAAAGTTAATGAAGTACATTTTTTGTAAGTATCATTTTTTCCCGCTCTTTAAACGCCCATATTATTAGCGAGTAATTGGTAGGAAGTAAAATTTCATTTTTTATTTTAGTTATAGTATATACACTACCAATATACAAAATTCAAAAAAAATTCTGAAGGGGGTCGGGTTGAAAATAGACTTTTTATTTGTAGATTTGATATGGAATTCACCTTATATAATTTATATACAACTTTTGAATATCG